TTGTTTTTTCCAGCTGTTTATTGATTGTCCATGCTTCGCACCCGTATAATAGGATTGGCTCGATGTAGCTTTTCATTACTCTTTTCCTCATTTCAAATCTAGCCACTGCAATTTTACATCGTCTTTGTGTTTAAATTACTTACTTAAACATCACAAAATCCAAGCTAGATCTTCTTATCTTAGGTACTAATTTCACTTACTTGACAATGACTCACTGACTTAAGATATATTATTAAACATAGTAATATAACAGTATCATCAATCATAATTATTTTTATGGGATGATGATGGATGGGAGCAGCCAAAGATAGACTCGTGCCTAAAATGCATGATGTAAAGTATAGGATATATAGATATCTAACCTTATTAGCGACAAAGGAAACCATAGTCAGAGTGCGCTTGGTGCTGAGCTTGCTATATGCACATGTGTTTGGCACATTTTCTATTGCTCGAATGAATTTAAACAACTCACCACTGCTTCTGTCAGGCAGATCAGTGATGTCTGGGGTTTTTTTTTATAACATCATCTATTTTTAGCTTATAATATGTTTTATAGAAACAAATAGTCACTCCGGTTTTTTTATATATATAAAGAGTTATCAGCAAGGTTCTGGGCCATGGGAAGTTAAGGTTGACTAGCAGCTAGATCTTTTTCACAATGGACAGGTAATTTCTTTATCAAACAGTGTACTTTTTAATGTTTTGTTTTATTGAATGTTGTCCAAAAACACAATTAGTAAAGGTCTTTGCTTCAGTTATCACTACACTGTGTAGAAAAACAATTGACCAGGCTACAAAACAACATTAAATTCACTTTTTTATCTTTAAAGTGAGTCCAGAGTTGTCACAGTTGTTTTACGAATGTCTAAAATTAGACTTACTTAAAACAGCAATAGAAGGAGATGTAGTTTAAGTGCTGTAAATCGTCTACTTTAGTTCTTAAAATCAATATAAACCAAAGTTTAATTTTAATATACACAGAAGAAAGCACTTCTTATTTGGCATACTTTAAAAAAAACCAACTGAACGTACGAATGAAAAATACAGTTTCCTGTTCAAATGTCACAATGAAAAGTTTAACTCGATTTTTAAAATAGTAGATCTAGCTACATGTATTCACCATTTGTTTGGCTGAATTTGCTTTATGAAGAGCTTCTGCCTTCCTACACCTACAGTAATATGGCAGAAAAAACTCTGGTATTTTTTCTATGGCTCATCTTGATTTAATTTAAAGCCAAACTTAGGGGGTGGAGTGGTATTGGGATTCGGGAGGAGAGGGAAGATGGGGTAATTGGGAGGTTCCCATGACACCCACATCTTTTCAGACTTCTTTTTAAAAGTTCTATAGGCCCTATACGCTTTGATTCAGTTAATAAGAAATAAACCACTTCGTAGATAGAGTGCTGATGAAGAAATAAAGGTTTTTTTTTTTCTTTTTTTAAAAGCCTATCTCTATCTCTATCTATTTAATAATACATTTGTTTGTAGATCTAGTTGTAGAAAGGACGCTGTATTATTGCTATTTAGTAACCTAGATAGTACGCCACAGCGCCCAAGTAAAAACAAAATTAAGAAGGACCAAGCCTCGCCTATCGCGTATGAGGGAGAGAGAAAATATGCCTAGCCCATACCTGTCCCCGTGGTTTTATGCACCCGCATAATTTGGCAAAATTTGTTCAATTTTTGCATAATTTCTTATTATTTTCCTTTATCATTCTTTGTTAAAATTATCAGAATCGCATAATTTCACATTTTTGGGCTCAGTTTGCATAATTTCAGAATTTTTCTTGCATTAAGCGACGGGACAGAGTGTATTGCTTTAGCTTGAATTCCTTCACACAGCTCTCCAACTGAAACATGGCGGACGCCGCTGTCGAATGTGGCCATGGCGCAGCAAAGCAAGAGAGGGGCGTTCTTATATAGTGCCAGGGGCGGCTGGTGGTTTGTAGAACTGACCGGCTGTAATTCCCATCGATACCTCCCCCCCCCCCT